GAGGGCAGCAGGTCTCGCAAGCAGGTCTCGCTGTTGCCGGGCTGGCTGGAGTCTACTCCCAGCGCTGCCAGTCTTCAAGCCCTCTGAAGGCAGGTCCTATTGGGCCTCATAGCAAGCGGTTTTTAACCACATTAGGACCACTTGGTCAGAGGACACTTCAAGGTAATTCACAACTTAGATTATTTGACCTGGAAGAGCATGCACCTAGGCCATTAGTAATATAGGAGTATCCCCAAATTTCAAAAGCCCATCAAGTCACCATACCTGAATACATGGTGAAGAAGCGTGGAATATAATTTTTTTTATAATTCTCATTACAGAGTCTATATAGCATCCATTAGTTATGTCATGCCAATTCAAAGATCTCCATGCAATTTCTTATATACACGAGGTGAATGATGACGATGGAAACAGCCTAAACATGAAACGAAAAAGGGCGAAATTAAAATATTTAGTTTTCTTAATATTCATTTATAGCCTATATTGAACGTAGTAGTGAGTAGGTCTTCGAGGGAACCCTCGGCGATTTCGCGTAGGGGTTAACGTGTCAAGATTACACTCTGCATTTTCATGGTTCGACTCCTTCTGGTGATGTTGATAAGACTTAGGCAAGGTCGAAGCTGCAGTCCGCCCCGGATGATAACACATTTTGGGGAAGCAAGGTTATGCGAAATTCAATGGAAACGTCAGCTCTACAACCAGTTCTTCATCACCTTAATGGAAATAGGGTGAACACAATTCATATATTTGAACTTATTAGTAAAACGAGTTTTTTGCCAAAGTTTATCAAACAATGTTCAGTCCCTCATGTCTGATGACAGGAGGGCACACTTATAGAGCCGAAATATCTGCAAACTCCTTGTACACTAGTGCATTTCTCAAAGGAGATTTTAACTTAGCCTATTTTGCAATTTATTTTATAAAATAAACTCAGATAACATCAACGCAGCCGGAGAAATCGACGGGGCCGGAGTCTCTGAACCTGATATGTCAAGTTTAGCTTCCGAAACCAAACGACCAACCATACTGGAACAGGGTCTAAACGAGCTAAATGAACATAGCAAAGCCTTAGGAAGCGGTTGCAATAGCAAAGTCCTCTGGTCGTCTCCTCCATCAACTTTTGGTTCCACAGTTGCCTCAATATCATCCTCTACCTTATCTACACCTTCATCTTCTTCCCCCTCTTTGCGCTCTTCGCGCTCGCTTTCTGGAGTTCTAGCAGAACATTTTACACCGGCACACTTGCCACGCCAGACACCTCTACAGGAGTCTTTTTGCACACATTCGTCTATCTCGCAGCCTCAGGCACAGCAACAGGTGCAACCCATACTCTTTCATAACCACCTTCATCACAACCCCAACCCCAGCCACAACACGAGCCAGCAAGAGCCAAACCAGCATCCAATTTCTATTTCGCAGTGTCAGCATCACTTGCAAGGTCCAGGGTCTCACTCACTTCATTCGAGTACATCGGCACAGCTTGTGCCCCAGGTATTCGAATACCATGTTGCCGATACAAACCGAACCTGGAATGAGTTGCCGTAATCCCGATTTAAAGTGATCAAAGCTCTTAAAGCCTAGTATACTTGTAGGATCAACAAAAGTTAGGATAGCTGGTGGCGCTGGCCATCTGAGCGAGAAAAGGAGAATTTGTCTAGTTCTTCTTCGACAGCACTTTAGTTGTAAATATTCATTAAAATAAAGCCTGAAAAATGACTTTACAAAGACAAATTAACCTATAAAACGGAAAGGAATGAATGATGTATTTAGTGAATTAATATTAGCATGGATGATGTTAGATTTTGTTTGTAAATATCTAAGTATGCATGAATGCCATCCTAAGCATCATGCTCTGAGAAATTGACGTTAATCAATCAACACCAATGAATGATTGTACATTTAAATACGTAAAAATTGTTATGTGCATTTATTAGGCCATAACTAGCATCTTTTTCGAAGTTGTCATAGAGGAATACTGTAGTAATGGGTGCTAGTGCTTTTATCTTTGAGCAGTTTTATATGTTTGACATACATTTAAGTTTTTCCCGCAATCTCGGTGGTAATCTATTTCCTACCTGCCTAGGTATTGATATCTGAATTGTAATGACACAAGTGCACCAGAACGCTTATTGAAATGAATAAAGAAATGTTATACATCATCAAAGGTTCTTATCCATTACTCATGTTTTAGTATCACCTTGGCTTTGGCTTTATAACCTTGCTTTACTTAATTAGTTTGTGTTTTTTTATTAAACGTCTACCCTGCCCTGCCATTCCTGTCATTTTTGCACATAATGAAATTTTGGGAAATGTTCATGATGATAAAAAAGCTGAGATTCTTACACAGAATTGTTTCATTTGTATACAGCTGATTTATGAAGTGTGTTTCAGAGGTAATGGAAATAAAAATTCATCAAAAATACGCCTTTTTCGTCATAAAGTTTGTTTGGAACGGCGAAATATAAATTTTAAGCATATGATACTCGGATTTATAGAAGAGAAGGGCTGGCATGGGTGAAAATCTGGTTTAAAATTTTGTATCTTGTGGAAAAAGAAGTTATAAGAGAACCAGTCCAATCAGGCAAGGCCTGAAAAGGACGAAAAGGTATAAACAATTGCATGCAATATACTTTTTTAAATATACATACATGTTGGCATTTGTATAACTGGGCTGGTCGAAAAAATAAGGAGAAATGGGAGTTTAGTTATTTGCTATCACTTAAGATGCCTTACGGACTGATGGTGGATTCTTCCCGCATTATTATGTTTAGGTCTCACGGTGCCACTGAAGTTCACTCAGCAGTTTATAACTTAGCTTGTAGGGAAATTCCTTTATCCATCAGCAGATCACCTTATCCAATTTAGGGTGACTAGGATCTTGTTCAAAAAATGCTAAAAGCCTCGAAACATATCACGTTAAAAGTAAGAAATACCATCGATTTCAAGCCGCATGCATGGTTAATTCATCGCTTGGGAGGGGTCTTGTTTGCCTTGAAAGTCATATCTACCAATTTAAACCAGTGGAAATGTAGTTGAGTGTTTACGTGTCGCTACGATGAGCACGACCCATGCTCAACTCGTGGGCTAAACTGCAGCCCAACCCATTGA